TGGGCTTGGAACCTGCACATCTTTAAAATTGCGTTCTGTAAGCTTTTGGCATGGAAAGCTAATTTTTAATGCAATTAAGTGTACTTTAATGCTCCGGATGACTACGGATGAATTTCGGCCACCCAGGGTTCTTAAACGCGAGCGTAAATGTAAGCGCACTGGTGTCTTTTGCATTTCACCCATTCTAAATGGGGCCGCCGCGGCACGCAGTCGAGCCCGCGCCCTCAAGCAGAGCAACGCGACACCTGTAACGTGTCGGGCTACCAAGGCATGCATCTGACGGCCATGCTTCCGTTTGTACTCTGCGAAAGTAATCTGTGCGTGCACAAATGGACAACATGTGTATGTAGTTTCTGCGCAGAAAGGCGCACGCATTTGACACGAGGAAGAAACATTAAAACGGAGCTAGTTGGTTCATAGCTAACACCGGTGCTATAAAATGTTGTTGTTAATAAAGCTTCACTTGTTAGTACAGTGACATCCTTCTATGTCTTCTCTTTGTCCTTCAGTTCCGAAGTTCGAACAAGAAGTTATCTATAAGAAGACCTCGTTTTCCAGGGGGTTTCTAATCCGATGCATGGACGTAACTATGCTCATGCACTGGCCACCGACCTTGTGGTGTCAGCAGCGGATCCATCACAACGGTTAATGCAAGACGTGACCTCCGCGAAGATCACAATGAGCATAAAGAAACTATATACGAAAAGAGAAAGTGACGCTCACGCGCCAATGAAAACATAAGGAACCCGTGACTGCGGCATCGCGTCGCGACACATTCGTCTTGTCGCCGCAACTCTCGAAAAGCAATAACTCAGCCAGTGGCTCAGACACGGGCCACCCTTCTCCAAGCTTCGCTGATGGAAAGACGCTCTCAGATAGCGCGCTCCGCCTGTCTCTCTGCGGATGCTCCAGCACTGGCGGCGTATTGCGTGCGTGCGACACCTTCTTGCCCTTACAGCAGACGAGGGCATTCCCCGTATACGCTGGCGATCGCCAAAAGGTTCGGACAGTTCGCGTCCGAGGAGGACGCTTCTCTCTCGCCCCCGTTTCAGACACAACGCGAGTGGAAAGTGTAACTTGAACCCTGGTCAATTTCGCGACCCTGCACTCAGCGCCACGGAGGGAAAAAAGAAAAGGAGGAGGACACAAACAGTGTCGCCTTTCGAACCGTTTCGTTTTCTTAAGCCGAGACCGCAACTCCGTCTGTGTCTGTCTGTATACGTCTGGTCTGTTTGGGTGAAGCCGTATTGGCGCCTTGCCGTCTCTTGTCCCAGCGGAGAACAGTCCTGCAACTGACCGAGACGCCATCTTCCTTGTCTTCCTGGCCTCCTTCTCCGGCCGTTCTCATTCTTCTTCCTTTCTCGCCTTCTCTGCTCCTGTGCACGGAAGCACAGTCCGAGCGGCGCTGTGTACTCGTGCTGTCGTCGCACCATCACTTAAGGTCGGCATCGCTTCGACGAAAACGACGTCTCGGCATCCGAGCTCGAGCCGAGACGGGTGGTCGTCTCTGTGCGTCTCGTACACTATGCAGTGTGTCTTCGTAACTTTTTTGCTTTCGAAGGCGCCGTATACAGCAGCTTCGCGCTCCGGAGCACTTTGGGAATGCCCGTGAATTGTATACGCGCCTCGTGTTTATCTAAACGATCACGTCACGCGTAACCTTGCAAGTCGGTAAGCTCTTGGTTTGAGCGTTGCCTGCGCTTCACAAGCATGTCTTTGTTTTTTTACTTGGAGTCTTTTCACAGAGGAAAAAAGAAGAAAATTAAGGCAGCTTCACGCCAGTAGTTCCAAGCCTGAAAGAGGTGCGGAGCTGAGCAGCCTTCTTTCTTTCTCTTCGGTTTTTTGTTTCTTTCCTCCTCCTTTTTTCTCTCTCTTGTCTATATTTTTCCGTTTTTTCCCATTTTTTGCTTCCCTTATATCCATTTCTATTTTCTTTCCTATATATATTTGTCATTTATTTCTCGTATTTCCTATTTCTAGCTTGCCTCCGATTTCAATTTTAATATGTGGTCTGCGTTGTATTGTTTCCCTATAGCAGTAATGCACGCACATTATATAATCATCAAGGCACCCGAGGAACGAGAGAAAGAAGACGCGTTAAACTCATCATCAACGAACTCAAAGAACAATGCGAAGAAGACTTCTCCTTGGCGCACTCAATATTCTACAGCTGGCTGTATACGCTATATATGTTTCTGCTTGCGTTATGCCAAACGACGACGACAGACTATACGACGACATACGACAGCCTGCAGCCCGAAGGGCTCCACACTTAAAAGCGCACAACCACATCGTTGTTATTTCGTGTTTGTTATCGGATGAATGGGACGTTATTGTTGAACGTAAAATCATTTACTACTTTCATTTTTTAAACCTATATGCGCTTGTTTCCTGCTAGTTAATGTTCACCAAGAGATGTTTCATGTGTACTATAAATTGTGATTGTGGGTCTCTCTTAAAACTTTGAACGATATTCGAAATTTTATATTGTGCTTGTTTAGCGTAGAGAAAAACCGAGGGAGCCACAATTTTCATCGGAAAAAAAAATTGCTAAGTACGACTCTGCTGGGAATCACTGCGGATCTTTTACATGCGAAGCAGCTTATTGGGGCGGAGTTCAATTCGATGCGTGGCGTAACCACCTTTACACTTTGTCAGCGATCGTGTGATGGCATCCGGAAACGAGATTCTGCAGACACGCGATGAGCCAACGCGCTGTATCTTAGCCAGAACACGCTGCAGCATGTTCGAGCGCGTTAGTTACTGCGTAAGTATACCTGTGTAAGAGACTGTGGCCTCTTCCCCTTACGCTCCCAGCAATGCCGAGGGCGCCTCAAGGGAAAATGAGGATGCACCATAGTCACGCGATAGGCGAGCAGCACATTGTCGCCCGTCTCTCCTGTGCTGCATTACGTGCGGCGTGCGTGTGCATGTTGAAGGCCGTAGAACGTTTACAGAAAGAACATACCGTTTCCTTGAAGAAGTAACGAGTTACCGTTACAGTCACGCGGATTCTGAATCGAACAGTCGCGTTCCTCTGTGGCTTCCAGAAGGAACTAGTTCATGGAACGTCATTCCTTTCCATACAACAATAGTCGCAGCCCACACGATCGTACGACGAGTCGGATACCCGGTGTATATACTCGCAAGCGTGAAGAACGTTGAAGGCGTGGTATACTATCGCTCAATATTGTGGCAGGCGACCCTGGAGTCAGTGGTAATGACCCGGGACTCTGCATGGGCAGTGGCGTTCAATAACTCCAACATGCAGCGAGGAGGTGACGTCAGCCCAAGTCCGGCGTCCAATCAGCTGCGTTCTTCTGGCTGTCACACCGTCTTCCCTGGTTCTGCACTCAGCTATGACCACTAGGGTTTGTTTAATCATTATTGATGGATGTTAGCCGTCGGGAGGAAGATGTACGACTAAGTAGCGTTATAGCTGTTAAACACCAATAAACATTGCCCAACTTCACTTATATTTATGTACACTAAACAATAAACTATACTTTCGTAAGGACACCTCTTCCTTTGGTGTTTACCGATTAGTATAACGGGGGGATCAAAGATGTTTTCTTTCTCGGTATACTACAGTTGGATTATTGTCACTGTCATTAGTCTGCCACCGACGAAATTTCACTGATATGCTATTTCTTTCCTAACTTATTCACGATATCATCACATGTCCTGTATTATTCGTTCGGTTATATATAAATTTTTGAATTGCGCGTAACATGAGCAGATAATATGGATCTTAACTTCTCTTTGACTATCTCTGTTGACGCTCAGCCGCGTTAAGAAAACAAAGTCTTCATGGTGCTTATATCTCGATCTTTATGCTTTTCATAAACCATATTGCTGCTTTTTTTTTTTCGAGCTTTGCGCTTTTTAACACAGTTTCACACATTGCCCAACTCCTTTTCTCATTTTGATTTTCCGTCTTACCTTGTGCTTTGTTAATGAGAACTACTGACAATAAGGTCAGGGAAAGTATAGGGGATGTTGTAAGAAGAAATTGTAATGTAAGTATGAAGAAAGAAAAGTGGGCGAAAACATAACTTGCCACCGGCAGGATCCGAATCTGCGACCTCCGAATAACGCGTTCGATACTCTACCACTGAGCTACGGTGGCGGTTATCTCCACGTACAGTTCATAGAATATATATATATATATATATATATATATATATATATATATATATATATATATATATATATATATATATATATATATATTGACGCGTGTGTACTGGTGGACCAAAACGATGATAAGGGGATTTGGCGGACACCAGGTAGTGGAGCTCTGGCTGATTGAAGATAAAGAAGGCGATCTTGCTGTTTGGCTGCTGAGAGTCCCTGTGTCAACGTTTATCTGCCTTTGGTTCACGCTGTACCGTGACAATATATATATATATATATATATATATATATATATATATATATATATATATATATATATATATATATATATATATATATGCATTAAAATGTGGGAGCGTCATTACTACTACTACTACTACTACTACTACTACTACTATCATTACCAATAGTAATTCTATGACGCAGCATGTTTCATGTCACTGTTCCACTGTACTAAAAACAATATATAACATCACTATTACCAAGTGCAATTTTCGCTACGGTTCGTCACAGCTGCGTTTCTCATTTCCTCCAGAACTGCATTTATGAAAGTCACTGAGTCCCATTCGCCGACACTGTGCATATCACTTAACAACACGCATCTCCCGAATTCTTGTCGTAATCACTCTGCAGAATGGGTATACGACGGCAAGGGACGGCGTCACTGAACTATAGCCTGGCAAAATAAACGCGAAAGGCTAAAAGGGGAAAATGGGCGCGTATTATCATAAAGGTGCGGCGACAGTGCCGAATACCCCCATCGAGGAGGTGTAGTCTCACCCTCGGGCACCAGCACCCATCGCAACGGCAGCGCGAGTGCTGTGGGCGTCGTCCGGAGAGAGAGAGCTGGACGCGGGCGGAGCCAGGCTGTTGCCCGCCTCTGCGGGCATCTACCGCGGGCCGCATGGCGGGCCGTGGCAACCGAGACGCAGTCCGGCCACGCAATGCCCGAGCACCGGACTGCTGTAGCAGCCCGGAAGCGGCGCAAGGCCTAGTCTTCAATCCCGCTCGCACGCAGTCCTGGACGTGCTGTCCGGCGTTCCGTAGCGGCTGCAGTATTGTTCCGGTATCGTCGAATCGACAGGCCTGCTGATCCAGAGCCAGGTTTCTCCATCTCTTCCAAGTCACGAGTGTGAGAGTGCGTTGGAGACTGTGAAATCGAGACCAGCTAGAAGGACAGCAAAGGTCAAGTACCAGCTGATCAACCACCTTCCGCAAAGTTTTCTATAACCTGCTGAAGACTCGACATCGTCTCTCATGCTAAACTGCATCCGATCCAACTCCACTGGCATCGTGCAATTTTGCTCGGAACAGGTAACTGCAGCTCTCTCCTTCAGGGCTCGCATGCTCTGTAATAGGTTTCTAAAACCCGGAAAGTTGGTGCAATACTGGTAGCACTTGTGGATATCTTTACGAATATAAACGAAGACATTCTTGAGAAGTAACTTGAGAAGTAAAAAAAAACGAAAGAAAGTCATTTTGGTCTGAAAGAAGAACTGTGTTAGCACCCTCGTTTCTTCCGCGGCTTCACATCCCCAGCTGCCAACAGAGTCTATTGCTCCGCCAGACCCCTCACACGTGCCTTTCCCAGTTAGTGTCATCGAGCGCTGCAGGAGGAGGCGGCAAGTGGGCGTTTCGAAAGTAGCCCTTCAGGAGAACTGATTTGTTTGAGGGCGCCTGGAGAACGAGACGGCACCTCACGTTCCACGGTATTTGTGTTGCCGATGAACTTTTTTCCATGCACAGTTTGGTACGAGAGATGTCAGTCCAAAACCGCGATTAGCGAAATGGTGCAACGAAAATATGCCTCGAAGACCAGATGATAGTGCTCGTACATTTCAACGGTTGATTTCTTTTGCCTCGTCAACCTGGATTCCGAACCCGCGTGCTGGAAAGGTGCTTGTGCATATTCGTTGCCCAAAAGTACCATGTCGTAATTAATTCGATGGCACACCTGTTAGTGGAGGACAGTACGGTTTTGCAAAGAGCTCGTTCTCTCATCATACCTTGTCTTGTGTGGTTTTCACCATTGCGAGCTCTCTGACGAACACCAACCACTGCCAAACACCGACAGCTGTACGAACGATATCGTCGAGGTCTTCAAGTCTGGAAATCAACCAACGCGCTTAAGAGGGACTGTTATCCATGGCGCTCCGCATGTGTTCTGTACGTGAAGTGCTCATTGTGCGGGGTCGACGAGACCACTAATTACGGCGTTTCGGTTTTGTGCTTAAAGATACCGAAGTTCTGCAACTCCAATTGGTGTATCGCAACAACTGCGTAGGTACATCAATCTTGGCATTAGGTTCAATTAAGGTGGCAAAATACTGTTTCGCGTTCTGTAGGAGAGAACAGAGCCTATATATCCGACAGGACTTGGCCAATCTCGTTGATTGACACTCGCAAGCCACTGCCAGAAAGCTTTCGCTCGAACATGAGCCTGGTGGGTGGCTTTCCCCCAGCGGCTGCGGCCGCATTCGCCGCCGAGGAGCCCCTGTACGGGGCTTACTACGCAAGTGGTCCACCGGGAGCCGAGTACCTGGGTTGGCTCCTCGGGGACCAGGCGACGGCTGGTGACCTGACCGGCAGCGGAGGTGTGCCGGCGGCGTGCTCGTACTCGGCCGGCGGCCCAGCGAGGCCGGGCTCGGCGGACGAGCCCTGGGCCTCGCCTCACCCGCCCAGCGTCCCGCCGCCGCCTGCGGGGCGCGGGGTCAAGCGGCGGGTGACCGCCAACCGCAAGGAGCGACGCCGCACGCAGAGCATCAACAACGCGTTCGCCGAACTGCGCGAGTGCATACCCAACGTGCCAGCTGACACCAAGCTGTCGAAGATAAAGACGCTGCGGCTGGCTACCTCGTACATCGCCTACCTCATGGACCTGCTGCAGGGACCACCGGGAGCCGCCCACCAGGCGTGCTTCAAGGCGGACCTGCAGGCGGCTCATGCAGCCCTCACGCTCCACCACCAGCAGCAGCAACAGCAACTCCCTCCACAACAGCAGCAGCAGCAGCTTACGCCACTCAGCTCCCCGGACGAGGTTCGTCGAAAAGAGCTGGTGAGTTCGTTCACTTTTTCGATGTAAGAGTGGGTGTGTTGCACGCGTATGTCGGCACCATTCTGAAATGCCACTGTTCGTAAACCATACGAAACAGAGAAGCAGTGGCTTTCTAGGTATACAGTTGATAAAGCCAAAAAGGAAGGGAGAACGAGAGATGAAGAGGAAGGCTTGGAAATCTAGCCATAGATTTGCAACCGGTTTCCTATATCCAGCACATGGGTGACGAAATCGGGACAAGAAAGAGTGGGGAGAAGAAGAGAGAGCGTCTGCTGCTTCTCTTACGTTGTCAGAATGTACAAACATTTTCATATAACTTGTCGGGTCACTTGTATAAATTGTCATAACCATTTACAAGTACAATCTCTTGGCTAAAGTACATCAGGCTTCTCGGAAATATGTCATGGGTGGTCCTTACTGTACAGTGTTTTTAAATTTTGTTGATACTCACGGCAGAAAGGCATCACAGGTTATCGGAGTTCTTTCCCATTGCACCTGCCTGCTGGCTCTCAATGGCGGTGCCATAAATTCTTGCAGCCTCAGCGACTCCCTCTTTGAAGCATGGGATGGCGAAAGGTGCGAGGGGGATCGTATAAAGGCTGTCCACATAATCAAGACAATGTCTACAACTGACGGCGAGGCCAGCATGACAGCATTCTGTTTTTATCCCGGTCAATAATCAAGCCTGTTGATCAGGGCCGATACAGAAGATGTTACATAGTGCCACAAAATGTTTGCAGCGTTCCTTTTTCTTTTCTTTGCGACGATGGGTATAGGCTGGCGATTGTATACGTTGCTCACAAAGTACGTGTGGTTTTCGCGGTCGTTCATATCTGAAGTCCTAGGTGATTTTTACTTTAACAATTACGCCATGGCATTCCGTTATTCGTTTCCGTATACTATGTACAAATCGACTCTGCCAACAAGGTTAAAAGTGTCCAGTTTCTTCGCACCACCTCACCAGCTGTGCTTAACTGACTTTCTTTCGAAGCGAGCGCTCTATTTCACCTATATATATATATATATATATATATATATATATATATATATATATATATATATATATATATATATATATAGATATATATATATATATATATATATTTATATATATATATATATATATATATATATATATATATATATATATATATATATATATATATATATATATATATATAGGCTTGCGTGCGCTTTCTTTCTTGAAAGCTCGGCGCTGGCCACTTTCCTATCGGGAATGCAATGTAACCCTGATAATGGGCATGTCGATCGCGACCGGAATGTACTGGGCGCGGGGCGATAGCGCAAGGATGGAACGCAATATAGATGACGATTATTGTTGTGGGACAAACAGACACCCTTTTTTACTCGCTCTTTTTTTAGAGTGTTCTTCCTTGTCTGGGACTCCGCATACCTCTCACGCGACCTGTAAGTCAACGTACGGTCAGCTCCCAGTCAATTTTCCGCAAGTGTCAACAAATGTATGACACGTCCGAAAGTGCGGTTCCTTTCATTTCATAGGCGCCCTCCCAGTCACAAGTGGTGGGACGCAGGCAGCTGTGTCACCAAGTCGCCTATTTACACTAATCCGCCGCGCCTTCGAATCCGCCCACTGCTTCAGTGCTTGTCACCCGGCTCGGGGACGTCAGTGTGTCGAGGCGCGTTGATGGCACGCTGCACGAGGGCAGAAACGCGGCGTGTATTATCGGCTGTCCCGCAACCCTCATCGCCCTCGACGCCGCCCAATGTCACTTGTACCATGGGTGACCAGGGTCTAGGGTGCCCGCGGCGGCTTGCGGTCCCGAAACGTCACCTTAGAATTCTGCCGGTTTGTCAGCGGGACAGCTCGACAGACGACGCGTGAAAGCCCGTGGCGTTGAAACACGTGTATCCGATTGCAGTGCAAACAAGATCCGCGACTCGAAAGCCGCCTGCGCCCGTCTCCTCTGCTCACCACGCCCATCTCTCTATCAGTCTCCTTTCTTTTGCAAGGGTAGCGAACTGAATGATTCTCAGCGTATTCATAGTTCTGGCTTTGGAACTTACGCTCGTGTATAAGTATGTGAATGAGTATGTGAAGATATAGAACCGAGTTTTCTCGTTTTCCTGTAATAGTTACAACAATCATCAAGCAAACAATGAAGCCAGTGAAAAGATTTTAAAATTAACGTTAGAGTGGGCCCTGTGTCAGGCATGTAGTCAGAAATCTTTCACAGGGAAGAGGGGGGGGATGTCTACTTGCTAAACACCTTGACCGGTAGAGGGGGGGGATTCTAGGGCACCCCTCCTGGCTTCTGTTTGCCTCCGTATTATAGCCACTAGCTGTATTCGTCTGTTTACCATAAATTGGTAGCACGTTTAAGAAGTCAGGGGGAGATAAATCAGAGTGGGTTGCTTCATTGCGATGTTTATAACAACCCTGAAAACCCTATTCACCTTTTCGGAGTTGCTTCCCAAGAAACTTCCGGTCACTTCAATTATCACTCTCGAACGCCGAAGCAGAAAACGTTTTTGTTGTTGTTGTGGTTGTTGTTGTTGTGCCAATGTAAGCAAAAACGTTTTTTTTTCGCTTTCTGGTAAAGGAAAGGCGCTTAAAGTTAACGACTAACACCTTTAGTGTTGTGTGTAACTTAAAAGAAGTTTTGTTTGATTTATTTGGCCAGACAAAGATGAGAAAAGTGTTGAAAATGAGCAGGCTGTAGACTCACTAAAGCATTCCTTCTCCTCTAATGCTTCTAGGCTACGCTCGTGCACGAAACTATAAGCCATCGAGCAACTCTGCAGTGTATAGAACGCAGTGGGGTTTCCAGGTTTGGAACGCGGTGGTTCCGTCTCTAACCCTAGGCCATTCTGGGACTGCCTTCTGCTCTCGCATTAGTATAGTACCCTGTTCTCTAAATCGTTACCCACTTTTCTACCCCCTCCCTACTCTGTATGTAAACAACGAAAGCGTCTATGAGTAAACTATAGACATTAGAGCCCGTCAGCCAAGTGACCGTGATCTTTTCTTGTCTCTTCAGTCACTCAAGTGGTTTCCCCTACCAGGCGCGGCATCAAGGTCAGGATAGACTTCTCTCACGCTTGCTCGCTTGCATTCTCAGTAAAAACTTCAAGCTTTACTGCAAGGATTTATTGTGCTAGATTTATGCTGTCGAAATGGTACGTTCATTTTGGTTTTGTTCGTTTGTTTCATGACATTTTTGTGTATACTACCATGCAGCGCCTCTACCTGAAAACCGGGACAATATAGATTCACTTAGATGTACACACAAGGAGCATTGAAGTAAAGTCGCTTGCGGAACTAGTCATTTTGGTGATTGTCTTTGACGCCTCATAAAGCGTGAAGCCCACGGGATGGCTTTCAGCTCTTATATAGTGCACTACCAAGTACTGGAAATCGTTAACCACTTTTTCTAAACACACCACAGCAAGAATTAATGGTCTCCCGTATTAAGAGTACACAAGGTACTCCAAGTCATCCGCCATTTATAAATGTAGAGCATTTTATAGTCACACGCAAATCTAGCGTTGGTGGTGTCGTCGACACTCACTGCGCACGCTGTGCGCATAATCGCGTTTCGTGCCGACTGTCGATTTCCAGGTGGAACAATGTGCACGTTAAACAGCTCGCAGGTGTCGTATTTTATTCACCCCACCTCGTTTGTCGAGGCAATGTTCGTGTTTGCGAACAAGTGTGAAATTCCGGGTGACCCAACGCACCAGTGGAATCGCTGTTAAACGAACAAGTCAGCGACTGTTCAACGTCGAGCTGAGCGTTGCGAGGTGGACCGGCTTCTCATAGTAAATCGAGTATAATTGTACGCGTCACGCAAGCTTGCGGGCAACTCGATACGCCGTGATGCTTACATGGCATAGTATAAAACTACAGCCCGAGGCAACGTAGATCTGCACTTACCTGTCAGTTACATCTGGGAGAGATGAGTGGTCTGCAGCGCACTGACGGTATCCGCAGTGTCCCGGTTGAGGAGTCAGTCTATATACAGTGGGCAACAGCGCCGCCAATGGTGGCCTCTCACTTGGATGGTGATGAGACGGACCGTGCAAACCGTCAGCATTGTCAAGACTCGCCAAATGCCCCAACGCACTGGCTATAGTCTAATGGAAATCCTTCGGGGAGAAGTGTTTTGGAAAGCAAACCTGGTGTCTTCATGCGTTTACTTGCGTCCAGAACATTCACTCTCTTTTAACGCTCTGTCGCGTCCTGTTGTCAACTCGAGGGTCGATGTCATGAAAATTCCGGCATTATGATATAGTCTAAAGGTACGAAAAGTAAGACTATAGTTGCCAAGTTAACCTGCTAAACCGACAACATGGTGCGCCGGATACGAAGAAGGAACGAAGGAAGAATAGCAAGAAAGAAGGCAGGGGGCTAACTGATGCATGCGTTCATCTTTAGGGACTTCGCGTATGCGGCACCAATGCACAACGGGCCGAGAGCATGCAGAGCAGGGTCCGAGAAAAGTCAATCGATGTACACCTCTGGAAGGTTACCAAGATGGTCCTGAGCGCATATTCACTGCACTCCAGCAGCGTGCTGTCTACTGAAGGTTGTATTCAGAACAGCGCTCGAAGAAATAGCAGAAGAATGAAAAAGGGAGAGCGCGCATTCAGCGAGGCTGTCCATGCAAGGTCGGGGAAGATTCCTGCAAGATTTAGCCCTATAAAGACCCAATAACGATTTGCAAGGGATTCGTACAATCTCAAACTGCTATGAAGGGGTTGGCTTTCTCAACTGCAACTTTTCGTGCATGCCAATCGTCAAGCTTTTTGCAGCCGTGGTGGCTGGCCGGGTTTTGCCAATGCAGCGACATTCAGAAATCAAATCACAGATGTGCGCAGGGCACCGCTTCAGGGGGGGGGGGGGGGGAGGTTCGTTGCAGCATCCCATTTTTTACTATGTCAATATATGGGACTCACTTTGCGCCCTCCTCTCTTAAGTGACTAAAAAAGACGCCTCCCCCCCTTCCCCTGTGTGAACG